ATTGTCAAAAGACTTACCTGTTCACCAGGAGCTGTGTATGTCATGTCTGTTCGGGTAAGAGTGTGTCTGTACGTGCAGACAGTGTACCTGTTCGTACAAAAGGAGAGTGTCTCTTCAGGCAGTAAATGTGTCTGTTCGTTTAAGAGTGGTGCCTGTCCGAAAGTAAAGTCAATAGGCACAGTCCCAGTTCTGGTCTAAGTCAAGGGGTCAGTCCAGATCCAGACTTTGAAGTCCTAGGCCGAGAGGCCTCAGCAGCAGTCGAACCTCATTGGGACTACACTGGGACACATGCAATGCAGACAAAGGATGGGCTGAATTGAGCCAATGCAGACCCGGCGAGGAGTGGCCAGCACTATAAAGAAAGCTGCCAGCCTCATTCCTCGCCAGATCTCCACTGGCTGCAATGCGTGGAAGTGCTGGTGCACTTGTGCGCTGAGTCAGGAGGAGCAGCGCTGGAGGTAGAAGATGCGCTGAAGGAAGGAGGAAGAAGCCTGTACGCTGGAAGTGATGCAGCCATAGCTGCCCAGCGAGTTAGTGTTAGTAGTAGTGGGTTAGCATATAGCTATGAGTAGTATTCAGAGTAGATCCTCATGAGTGAAGAGTGTGTATGCATCGTAGGAGGAAGGGACTGAGGCTGAGAGTGTTCATTCAAGGTTCGACTATGGAAGATACTTACCTGAGTTGGATGTGTGTGACCTGCAGAGGTGGTGCTGATGAGTAGTGTCCACATTGATGACTTGGAGACTATCTGCAGGAGTAGCGCTGATTCAGTGGAAGTCATATTGATGAGTTGACAAGCGATTGGTGTTGCGCTGATGAGCGCTGGACTCAGGGGAACTTTGAAACACTTTGTATTCATATTTCTGATAATATAAGCTGTGGAACTCGGTCCTCTTCTCATCTACCTTTGTCTATGACTTGAGACTATTGCTCGTGGTGTGCGAGGATGATGCATGACTTGTACACACTTGCGTGAAAGGGTCCCCAGGACCCATGCATTGTTGAAAAACAGTGCTCCATTCTATTGGTGGGGAGCTGCATCTTGACAGGGGCTGGATGGTCATTCATTCTACCACAATCGTGTGCCGTTCGGTTTTCAATTCCTTCCTCTTCTCCGAATGCCTACCCCTTCAGCTTCTTGATTGTCAGTGGCATTCTCTCTCTCTCTCTCTCTCTCTCTCTCTCTCTCTCTCTCTCTCTCTCTCTTTCTCTTGTCAGGGTGGCTGGCAGAGGCAGAGGGTGCATTAGGTGACTTGCACGGTCGCCCTCACTAAACCATACTTCAGTCGGGTGGCTATGCCCCTAGAGGTCTGATCTACCCTGCAAAGGTTGTGGTTGTTGTTATTGTTGTTGCTGTTTTTGTCTGTCTTGGAAGGCATGCTGTCGTCAGCACACAACTCACAATGATGCATCAACAATTCGGCGTTCTGACGCAGACTGACGGATTGAAACAGCTGGGATAAGGCACTTAAAAAAAGTGTTAATCAATGTGGAAAACAAATGGCCGCTTGGATGACGCAACAGCATGGTAAGGGCAGGCCGTCATTGACCCATCGATTTGGTTACATGCAGCATCAAGGATTCCACAACGTGTTATTTTGTGTTTTGCAAAGAGGAGGAAGAGTGAAATGACAATTCCAAGCGCTCCGCATTGGGACTTTGCCGATCAAATTTAACAACTCTGGGCATGTAGTACCATGCACTGTGTTCTACCATGCAGGCTAAAAAAAAAAAAGACAAGAATATGTGCGCTGCTCTAACGCCTAACCAGTAATAGCAGTGTAAATTATGCTGTTGTAGCGGCTAACGACCAGATACAAATTCCAAATACAATCTTATTTTTCAGTCCCCCTAGCAACAACATAGTCCATGCTACTCTACCGGAACAACAAGGTACATACTACACAGCATGCTAGTACTCTCTACTGCCTAATGACAACATAAAAAACAATTGCTGTGCTAGTGCCTAATTGAAGGTAGAGTGTTAATAGACAATTCTGTTCTACAGGTTGCTTGAATATTCACGCATCGAGACCGCATGTTGCACCAAATACAGGAAAAGACTGGACAGCATACACAAGTCATTCGGTATATCACAGATTATGTATGGTGTCCAGACTATCACTCAGAGTGCCTAAAGACGAGGAACTTCAAGACTGACAACAGGTAAAACAACACTATTGCAGGTGCCTAAGGACGCAGAAGACTGCTGAGCTCCAGTGCTGAACTCCCAAAGGTACGTAGACCATCCATCATCGTGATGCTCTCTTTGAGTAAAACACAGACAACCCCAAGAGCTTTGCTTAGATAAGCGAAGCTTACCCTTCTTCCTTCCTTTCCATGGTCAACATCTTCCTTGCGTTCAAAATAACGACTTTTCTTCTGATGAGCTATACATACTACATAGTACATAGTGCACAGTATACATAGTACATAGTACATACTTCCCAATTCGACCTACATAGTACATAGTACATACTTTCCAATTCGACCTATTTCCTTAGTACATACTTCCCAATTCGACCTACATAGTACATAGTACATACTTTCCAATTCGACCTATTTCCTTTCTTCTCATGGTTACACAGCACATAGTACATAGTACATACTTCCCAATTCGACCTACATAGTACATACTTTCCAATTCGACCTACATCGTACATACTTTCCAATTTACATAGCACATAGTACATAGTACATAGCACATAGCACATAGCAGTAACAGTACATACTTTCCAATTCGTACATTGTACATAGTACACAGCAGTCACAGTACACACTTTCCAATTCGACCTATTTGAACTATTTCCTATCTCAATGGCAAAGAAACATGTTATCAGACAGACTGTCAGAACAGAGACACACTTGCGCGCATTCCTCCGTACTCTTCTTTACTATTGAGTTGGTGTTGGTGTTTGACCCAAATTGGTCAAGGAAGGTTCTAAGTTCTAACTTCACACATCCAAAGAAGGTTTTGACATTGCAAGGTGTTAAGTAAGAATACAATATATGCCAACCATCATCATGTATCAAATTCTTACCCCTGGTTTGTTTGCATCATTTTTCTAAGACTTGTCCCTCTGCGCACTTCCTCGAATGGATGGATAGATGGATGGATGGATGGATGGACGGATAGAGGGAGGGAGGGAGGGAGGGAGGGAGGGAGGGATGGATGGATGGATGGATGGATGGATGGATGGATGGATGGACGGATGGACGTTTCCTCTGGCTACTAAGTTTGTTTCAGTTTACCAGGTTCTCTCTTATCTGGCTATGGATTCAGTGGCAGTACAAGGGGTTACACCAGTTCTGAATCTCTGGATCTATGCCTGTTTTCGACTCCCCGAAGCATTTTCGCCGCGTACTACGCCCTTCTTCATCTCTGAGTACCTACATATCCACCATACGCCCTGAACAAGTCGATAGATGGAGCTTCGTGGAAGGATGGACGGATGGATGGATGGGATGAATGGATGGATAAGTATAGGGTTTCTTGACTTTCTTCTTCTTCTTCTTCTTCTTCTTCTTCTATTTTCTTTCCTTTTTTTTTTTT